CCCGGGGGGACATGTATGGGGATCAAGGTACTGCCCTGGCGGACATGTATGGGGATCCAGGTACTGCCCGGGGGGACATGTATGGGGATCAAGGTACTGCCCTGGCGGACATGTATGGGGATCCAGGTACTGCCCGGGGGGACATGTATGGGGATCAAGGTACTGCCCTGGCGGACATGTATGGGGATCCAGGTACTGCCCGGGGGGACATGTATGGGGATCAAGGTACTGCCCTGGCGGACATGTATGGGGATCCAGGTACTGCCCGGGGGGACATGTATGGGGATCAAGGTACTGCCCTGGCGGACATGTATGGGGATCCAGGTACTGCCCGGGGGGACATGTATGGGGATCAAGGTACTGCCCTGGCGGACATGTATGGGGATCCAGGTACTGCCCGGGGGGACATGTATGGGGATCAAGGTACTGCCCTGGCGGACATGTATGGGGATCCAGGTACTGCCCGGGGGGACATGTATGGGGATCAAGGTACTGCCCTGGCGGACATGTATGGGGATCCAGGTACTGCCCGGGGGGACATGTATGGGGATCAAGGTACTGCCCTGGCGGACATGTATGGGGATCCAGGTACTGCCCGGGGGGACATGTATGGGGATCAAGGTACTGCCCTGGCGGACATGTATGGGGATCCAGGTACTGCCCGGGGGGACATGTATGGGGATCAAGGTACTGCCCTGGCGGACATGTATGGGGATCCAGGTACTGCCCGGGGGGACATGTATGGGGATCAAGGTACTGCCCTGGCGGACATGTATGGGGATCCAGGTACTGCCCTGGGGGACATATATGGGGGTCCGGGTACTGCCCTGGACCTGACCATTCTCTTGCCTGCCACCTGACTTGACCCCTACCTGGACCTGACCGTTCTCTTGCCTGCCTGCAGCAGATTGATCACTGGGGGGAGGGGAGACTAAGGAAATGCTTCCTACTGCCTGAAACAGACTGATCATTGGGGGAGGGGAGGCTGAGGAAATGCTTCCTCCTGCCTGCAGCAGACTGATTACATCATCCCAGCCTAGGCAAAGTCACTGACTGGAGCTCAAAGAGAGCTTTTTAATGCTAAAAGTAATTTAAAAATGAAAAGTGAAGATTGTTGTTTATTGTGACATGTAAAGCATTTGTAAAGTTACTGACACGCATAGGGCAGCCACGGATGGTGAAATATCCCGTATTTGTATCTTTTAGACAATCGCTACTCATGGTGGAATATCAGGACGTTGTATCAGGTCGTCATTCACAGAGATTCTGGAATATAAAATCTTCTCCCGCTACATCTCGGCACTTTGTATCAGAATCTCTGTGACTGACGTCCTGATACAACGTCCTGATCTTCCTCCGTGAGTAGCGATTGTCTGATACAGATGTATACGGCGATTGATTATTTATTCTCTTCCTTTGTGAGCAGAAAGAATGTTATTTTCTCTTTGTGCTGAGATCCAACATTGGACCGGCGCCGACTCCATACACTGCGTACATGGCATCGTCCTTCTCGCCGGTTCTGCAGTGACACCCACAGATTTCGGGATCGGTGGGGATGGCTCATAGAGGTGTGATGGTGAGAAGTCCACCAACGTTTGGCCGTATGGTGTATGTCAGCCGTCTGCTTTTCCTGGACCAGGGATTGAGATGACATCCTTGGCCTGGACCTTGTCGGATGAGCCAACAATGGTACCTCCCCTGTATGGTATCCATTATCACAGAGCCGTAGCTAGCTCCTTATGAGGCAAAAAAAGAAAATTGCCCCGCCCCCCAACAGACGTGTGATGTCATGCGCCCCACCAAATCCAAAATAGTGCTGAAGCCGGCCGAGTGGTGAGGAGAGAGAGAGCCACTGGCTGTCAGATCCTGGCCGAGCAGCTCTCTCCTCACCACTCGGCCATTCTGGATGACAGCTCCCTCCTCCAAACCCCCGCCCCCCTCACCGGCTGCTGCTCTCCATTTCTCTTCAGATCCCTGCTGCCTCTGCCCATTCAGGCAGGGGAGGACAGCGGGGATCTGAGGGGAAGCTGGAGCCTGTGCCACCCCTCTTCTCCCTGCCGAGCCGTGGCTGAGTTGGCCAACTGGCACCTCTGCTGCCATGGCACCCTGTGCTCACCATGGCAACAGGGGCAAGGGGGCACAGCCAATCCGGCCCAGGCTGTGCCCCCTCTCAGCTGCACCTGAGGCGAGTGCCTCACTCGCCCCATGGTAGCTACAGCCCTGCATTATCACATGCAATACACATTGTGTGGGATGTCAGCAGATCCTGGGAAGGTCACCCACAATCCTCATGATCATGTAATTCGTAATTTTAAGTCCAATCACCGGCCATGAACCAGAATAATTACCGACATCCACAACTAGCAGATAAAAGCGAGCTTCAGTTTTCCTGTATTAGCAATAACATGAGGAGGGTTAATGGCCGAGAGGCCGGCTTACGTGAGCTGTGAAAAAGCCCAGAACCACCATATGGGGAAATAATACTGATAAGTCCTTCTCCTTCAAGGGAGCTAAGAATGGACTGTGAAGGACACTGGAGGGTTATGCAAAATCTCCGACAGCCTATAGAAGGTCACACACACACACACGGCTACAAAACACGAGGCCAAAGATGTGTTTATGAATCGATAAAGTTACATAATAATCAGAAAGTCAACAAACAACACGGCCAGAAAATCCAATTTAATGTTGAAAAATGTAAAAAAAATATGAAATGATTTCTACTGGGCCATAGAACCTCACGTGTCATTTATCATAAAATAACTATAATTTTTTTTTAAAGAAGATGGCGGACGTTCCGGGTACCGATGTATACACATGAAATGATATCAAATATCTTATATAGAAAAACACAAAGTTTTAAATTACAGTATAAAATATAAGACGTTTTGTTTCTATCAGTACATATAAGCCTAATGAAGAGCGCCGGTGAGGTATTCAGTAGGGATGCACCGATACCGGTATTTTGGTACCGAGTACGAGTACCGATATATTTTTTCCGGTACTCGCCAATACCAAATGCCGAGTACCGGAAGTCCCATTCAGGAAGCCAGGCGGCGTGTAATGACTCGCCACCCGGCTTCCCGATTACCAAGGTAGCCGCTCCTATGCTTCTCATCACTATGTGATGAGAGGGCATGGAGCCGGCTTGCTGGCCAATCATGGAAGCCGGGCGCCGTGTAATGACGTGCTGCCCGGCTTCCTGATACCGGAAGTATCGGGCCAGGCATCGGAGGATTTGGGCGAGTACTCGTATTCGCCCAGATACTCGGTATCGGCACCGATATCGATACTAGTATCCCTAATATTCAGAGTACAAAAAGAGCTCAACTATGTCACTGGCCATGACCACCTTCACATATGTTATATTTCCACATACAGTATCTTCGTCACTTTCCATAGCTCCCTTTATAATAGCTACAGTTGTAATGCAAATTATCCGTGTGAACCCACGTATAGAGGTAGTCACCCGCACACCGAGGACCCACAAATAGAATGTCTTTATTTAGACATTAATCATACGTGGTGGCAGTAGTGACCTGCGTATGGCGTCGCGTGAAGCAAGTATAGAGGTAGCCACCCGCACACCGAGGCCAACGAATAGAGCGCCTTTAGTTGGACATTAATCCTACATGGTGACATGAGTGGACAGCTCTATAATTTGATTCACGCGGCGCCATCCGCAGGTCACTACTGCCACCACGTATGATTAATGTCTAAATAAAGACGTTCTATTGGTTGGCCTCGGTGTGCCGGTGACTACCTCTATACATAAAAGAGAGTAAGTGGCATGTATAATAATCCATTACATTATAATATATAAATATATTCCAACACATAAGCACATACAGACATGTATTTTATCTAAGAGCCCCGCAGGCGACGGCCCATTGTTCCCCTCCACAGCAGTTTTATGTCACATTGCAGTAGTCACAGCTCAGTTTTTCTGTGGAGGTCAGCAATGGGCAATGCAGGTAGAAGAGAAGAGGAAGAAGGACGGTAAGTCACTATTAGAGGCAGGATAGCCCAGTGGCAAATGAAACTGTGACGTGGGTATTCTATTATTAGGGATCTGGTGATAGGGGGGGTGGTGGTCCATGTGTGGTGCTTTGGTGCACACTAGTCATAGACATTTGTAGTTGTAGTAATGCTGCAAAGGGCTGTGTAGTGGTGCGTTCCAACTTCTAAACCCCTGGAGCCCAACCTGCCACCATACACCGGTCCATTACTGGTCTATGGCTGGCGTTACTGTGTGGCCCGCGGGGCTCCAGGAGTCTGTGTTCTCCTCACCTAGGTACTTCCTCAGGCTTGTAAAGGATGAATATTTATTAGACTTCTGGAAGTGAAATGGTTAATTTCTGTCACCCGATCTTACTCTTTCCTGTCCATCACTTTTTTGCTTTTCATGTTTCTCTTTCCAAAACTGAAAAAACTAAAAGTTTGGCATCAGTTCTGCGTTATATACTCATATAATCTTATGGGAAGACTGTTCGGTGGAAGTCTCGCTGTGGTGACCGCGCCAGCGCAGTACAGCTCTATATACTCCTATGGGGCCCGTGTGTCCTGAGGTCCCTTGTAATGCATTTGAACAAAAGGTTGAAATTTAACAGAAATATGGGAAATTTTACCAAAATTTTGGCAAAGTTACATCAGTCAGTTTGGCTCATGTGTAGTCTCTATCTATGGTTGTCCTTTCCCGCACAGCGCACGCTCCCCAATTCTCCACAACGCTGATGCTGTGTTGGAGCTTCTGGTAATTTTCCATTTTGTACAAAAATAACAATCACTTATATAACGTCCATAGAGGAGGGAAGGATGATAATGATTAACAGTGTTGGGGGTCAGTGTCTGGTGGCCTCTGTCTATATATACTCAGCCGTATACAGTGAGTGTGCAGCTGACAGAGGCTCCGCAGGGACAAGGTGAGTACACACAGTCCATGGCCGGCTGTCTGTCATTACTGATGGAGGATTCGGACTCAACATGTTTTCTCTCTACAGATGTTGCTGACCTGGATTGTTGGAGTTTTCTTTCTGGGCGCTGTAAAAGGTACAAGAAAGCAGGTGTACAGACCCGGGAACTCAGCACAGGGATGGTGGGAGCTCCTCATAATGGGCACAGCGGGTGTACAGACCTGGGAACTCAGCACAGGGATGGTGGGAGCTCCTCATAATGGGCACAGCGGGTGTACAGACCCAGGAACTCAGCACAGGGATGGTGGGAGCTCCTCATAATGGGCACAGCGGGTGTACAGACCCGGGAACTCAGCACAGGGATGGTGGGGGCCCCTCATAATGGGCACAGCAGGGGTACACACCCGGGAACTCAGCACAGGGATGGTAGGAGCCCCTCATAATGGGCACAGCGGGTGTACAGACCCGGGAACTCAGCACAGGGATGGTGGGAGCTCCTCATAATGGGCACATCGGGTGTACAGACCCGGGAACTCAGCACAGGGATGGGGGGAGGCCCTCATAATGGGCACAGCAGGTGTACAGACCCGGGAACTCAGCACAGGGATGGGGGGAGGCCCTCATAATGGGCACAGCAGGTGTACAGACCCGGGAACTCAGCACAGGGATGGGGGGAGGCCCTCATAATGGGCACAGCAGGTGTACAGACCCGGGAACTCAGCACAGGGATGGGGGGAGGCCCTCATAATGGGCACAGCAGGTGTACAGACCCGGGAACTCAGCACAGGGATGGGGGGAGGCCCTCATAATGGGCACAGCAGGTGTACAGACCCGGGAACTCAGCACAGGGATGGGGGGAGGCCCTCATAATGGGCACAGCAGGTGTACAGACCCGGGAACTCAGCACAGGGATGGGGGGAGGCCCTCATAATGGGCACAGCAGGTGTACAGACCCGGGAACTCAGCACAGGGATGGGGGGAGGCCCTCATAATGGGCACAGCAGGTGTACAGACCCAGGAACTCAGCACAGGGATGGTGGGGGCCCCTCATAATGGGCACAGCGGGTGTACAGACCTGGGAACTCAGCACAGGGATGGGGGGAGGGGTCATTCTGCAGCATCATTAAACATTGATATCAGTTTTGAGTGGAGTGACCCTTCAGAAACAAGCTCTTCCATTTGTCCCATCCAGGCGCAGAGGTCTGCTACAACAGAGTTGGATGTTTCAATGATGCCAGGCCCTGGGCCGGCACTTTGGAGAGACCCATCACAAGGTTACCCTGGACCCCAGAGAAGATCAACACTCGCTTCCTGCTCTTCACCAGAAACAACCAGAACAGCTTTCAGGTAACAGACTTGAGTAGAAGGAATACCTTATTTCTCTTCTCCTCCCCCATTCTTCTCAAAGCGGCCATTTTTACTAAGGGCAGATGAATCCATCTCTCTTTACTTCCTGGAACTCTGGCACATGTGACTAGGACATGTGACCATGCACATCATCTCAGGAGAGGGAAATGCATTTCCCTGAGATCTCGTGAGATTACAGATGAGATTTCCCAGCAATGCTCTGCGGATGTCACCTTCCCAGGACGCAACGCTTGGGCACAGATTACATCACTGATGCCCAAGAGGACCAGGAAGTTGAAAAACAGGAATTGTAAGTAGAATAAAAATATGTTTGTTGAACTAATGAGTGTCAGATGATTTCATATCAGCATGCAGAGCTACAATTATTAGTTCAACAAACATATTTTTTTCCTTTTACTTACAATTCCTGTTGTTCTACTTCCTGGTCCTCTTGGCCATTTTATCTCCAGAAGGATGGCACTAGCTTTGTTCAGGCATCATAGTTATATAGTTACATAGTTACATAGTATTTGGGGTTGAATAAAGACATACATCCATCAAGTCCAACCCATATAGGTCCACGCATCATCTCATTCTTAGGGGTACTGGTACCCCCGGATATTACGCTCCCTCAAGAAATTGTCCAAACGTTTCTTGAACAAATCTACACTCTTGGCTGAGATGACGGCCGATGGCAGAGAGTTCCAGACCTTAACCGCTCTTACTGTAAAGAACCCTCTTCGCCCATTGTGCTGGAATTTTTTCTCCACCAACTTTAGGTGGCGGCCTCTAGTCTTTGTAATGGAGTTACTCTCAAACAGTTTGTTGCCATTTTACTTCCTGGAACTCTGGCACATGTGACTAGGACATGTGACCATGCACATCATCTCAGGAGAGGGAAATGCATTTCCCTGAGATCTCGTGAGATTACAGATGAGATTTCCCAGCAATGCTCTGCGGATGTCACCTTCCCAGGACGCAACGCTTGGGCACAGATTACATCACTGATGCCCAAGAGGACCAGGAAGTTGAAAAACAGGAATTGTAAGTAGAATAAAAATATGTTTGTTGAACTAATGAGTGTCAGATGATTTCATATCAGCATGCAGAGCTACAATTATTAGTTCAACAAACATATTTTTTTCCTTTTACTTACAATTCCTGTTGTTCTACTTCCTGGTCCTCTTGGCCATTTTATCTCCAGAAGGATGGCACTAGCTTTGTTCAGGCATCATAGTTATATAGTTACATAGTTACATAGTATTTGGGGTTGAATAAAGACATACATCCATCAAGTCCAACCCATATAGGTCCACGCATCATCTCATTCTTAGGGGTACTGGTACCCCCGGATATTACGCTCCCTCAAGAAATTGTCCAAACGTTTCTTGAACAAATCTACACTCTTGGCTGAGATGACGGCCGATGGCAGAGAGTTCCAGACCTTAACCGCTCTTACTGTAAAGAACCCTCTTCGCCCATTGTGCTGGAATTTTTTCTCCACCAACTTTAGGTGGCGGCCTCTAGTCTTTGTAATGGAGTTACTCTCAAACAGTTTGTTGCCAATGTTGCTGTCACCATTGAACATCTTGTACATGAAGATCATGCGGGATCATCTACTTCCTGGACTGAGATGATGAATCCCGGTGCCTGTGCAGTTTTTGGCTGTGTTCTGACACAGATGAACATCTGCATTTTGAAATAACTTAATAGCGATAACTACTAAAGAACATAAACTCTGTGTCCCGCTATGTCACTAATATATATAATATGTTACTTTGTAATCTCTTCCTGCAGGTGATCAGCGCCGCTACCCCTTCCACCATCTCCTCCTCCAATTTCCGCACCACCAGGAAGACCCGCTTTATCATCCATGGCTTCACCGACAGCGGGGAGTCAAGCTGGCTGTCCGATATCTGCAGGGTAAGTGGTCCCGTCTTCTCCCACCTTGTTACACCTAATGTACAGGATAGAACACAGACCACCATCATGGGGTACCTCACAAGCTCACTACGCTCCAAGCTCACTCCCGGGATGGACTACAATCTCAATACAAATGAGTAAACTAAACCTGAGATTGTAGTCCATCCCGGGGGCGGAGCTTGGAGCGGTGACTACTCTATAACACACACACAGGGACCATGGGGAACAGAGGTAGCCCCCCTCCAGAAGGAAGGACAGTGTCAGAGATGATTGGAGGATCTACAGCCGAGTGACACACAAATAAGATGTTGCTCAGAGTTCGGGGACTCGGAGGGATTTTGTGTCACCTTGAATAGAGTCGGGGGGAGGGGGGGCGGGAGGGGGTTAAAGTGTATTTTTTAGAAATCCTCTTTCTCTTTTTCTTGCAGAAACTTTTTGTAATTGAAGACGTGAATTGTATCGCTGTGGACTGGAGCGGAGGATCCCGCACCACCTATTCCCAGGCCTCTAACAACATCCGGGTGGTGGGGGCGGAAGTCGCTCTGTACACTGGTCCTGGTACTGGGGACCATAAGTGGAACTCTGGGTAAAATTAAATTTAAAAATTAGACATACAATGCAGTCAGTGGCATTAACATAGTAGTTGTTGGTTTCCTATGTTCCCCGCACTTTGGGAGGCTTCCTCTAATGTCCTGCTGTGTCTCTGAAACAGGAAGTGAAGGGAAATTTCCCCAATGGTACACCGACATCCAAAAATAAGGAGGTTTTAGTGCCTCCCCACTGGTTCTGTCCACACTTAGATTCTAATGAATGGAATGTATCTACAATGTTTTGTTGCCATATTGAACTTGTTCTTCCTCCTCCTGGACGTTACTGACATCTAACACGACGCATGTTATGTGTTTGTAGAAAAACTTCGGCTACGCTGTTGGCAACGTCCACCTGATCGGGCACAGCCTGGGTGCCCACACCGCCGGAGAAGCTGGCAAGAGGATGAGAGGCATTGCCAGGATCTCAGGTGATCACTGAGGGGGTTGGGCTACTGCACTACAATAGAGTATGGAGGAGCTGGGAGGACCGTTTTCCTGGCAACCGGCAAACCCAGACACGCCCATCGCCAGACAGAGAAGCGTGATTGGTCACTCCAGAGAACACGACTCCACTCCTCTAGAGTCCAGTGGCGGCGTGCTTTACACCGCGGCATCCCACGCTTTGCATTGCACTTGGTGATGTGCGGCTTGGATGCAGCTGCTCGGCCATGGAAACCCATTCCATGAAGCTCTCTACGCACTGTTGTTGCGCCAATCTGACGGCCGCATGGAGTTTGGAGGTCTGTAGCTATTGACTCTGCAGACAGTTGGCGACTTCTGCGCACTGTGCGCATCAGCATGCGCTGACCCCGCTCTGTCATGTGACGTGGCCGACCACTTCCTGGCTGAGTTGCTGTTGTTCCCAGTTGCTTCCACTTTGTTATAATCCCAGTAACAGGTGACCGCGGCGGAATATTTAGTAGCCGGGAAATGTCACGGACGGGCTTATTGCACAGGTGACAACCTATCACGGCACCACGCTTGTAGTCACTGAGCTCCTGAGAGCGACCCGTTCTCTTACCAATGTCTGTAGAAACGTCTGCACGCCGAGGCGCCTCGTCCTATACACCGGGGGCCATGCAGGGGATTGGAACACCTGAATCACATGATTTGAAGGGCTGTCCCAATGCTTTTGGCAATATAGTGTAGATAGATAGATAGATAGATAGATAGATAGATAGATAGATAGATAGATAGATAGATAGATAGATAGATAGATAGATAGATGTGTGTCGAGGGTTAATGAGAACACTGTGTGGATTAACCCTTTCCTTTGGTCTCTCTGGCCAGGTCTGGATCCCGCTGAGCCGTATCGGCATCCCACGCTTTGCATTGCACTTGGTGATGTGCGGCTTGGATGCAGCTGCTCGGCCATGGAAACCCATTCCATGAAGCTCTCTACGCACTGTTGTTGCGCCAATCTGACGGCCGCATGGAGTTTGGAGGTCTGTAGCTATTGACTCTGCAGACAGTTGGCGACTTCTGCGCACTGTGCGCATCAGCATGCGCTGACCCCGCTCTGTCATGTGACGTGGCCGACCACTTCCTGGCTGAGTTGCTGTTGTTCCCAGTTGCTTCCACTTTGTTATAATCCCAGTAACAGGTGACCGCGGCGGAATATTTAGTAGCCGGGAAATGTCACGGACGGGCTTATTGCACAGGTGACAACCTATCACGGCACCACGCTTGTAGTCACTGAGCTCCTGAGAGCGACCCGTTCTCTTACCAATGTCTGTAGAAACGTCTGCACGCCGAGGCGCCTCGTCCTATACACCGGGGGCCATGCAGGGGATTGGAACACCTGAATCACATGATTTGAAGGGCTGTCCCAATGCTTTTGGCAATATAGTGTAGATAGATAGATAGATAGATAGATAGATAGATAGATAGATAGATAGATAGATAGATAGATAGATAGATAGATAGATAGATGTGTGTCGAGGGTTAATGAGAACACTGTGTGGATTAACCCTTTCCTTTGGTCTCTCTGGCCAGGTCTGGATCCCGCTGAGCCGTACTTCCAGAACACACCCATAGAGGTCAGGCTGGACCCATCAGATGCCAAACTCGTGGATGTCATTCACACAGACACCGGACCTCTCGTCCCCAGCCTGGGTCAGTCTTATGTGTCACTTCATAGAAAATCAAATGGAGTCATGGTCTACTGCAGCCTTCCTCAACCAGTGTGCCGTGACACCCTGGGGTGCCTTCTGAGTTTCTCAGGGGTGCCTTAGCGTCATGCCATGTAGTGGGTTATAATGGGAAGGGGGGCTCCTAGTGCGAGATGGGGTACTATGATGTAAAAGAAGGGGGCTCCTGATGTGAAGGGGGTTTTTAATGAAAGGGGGGGGCCCCTGATGTAAAGGGGGACACTGATGTGTAAGGGGGGGGGGGTTCTGATGTGAAGAGGGGATATGTGTTTTAGCATGGGGTCCCCCCTTAAAATCCATATGTCTTCACTGATCCGATCCAGACTCCCGTGAATTAAAAAAAGTAATGGTGAAATAAAAACAGGAATAGAGGGGGAATCTTCCAATGGGGACACCTGTTTGGGTGTCAACACTTTTAAGAGGGAATTTCTCTCAATGTGAAGAGATCTCCTCTCATTTCCTGTTGTGTCTCAAAGTGAAAGTGAAGAACCCCCCACCCCCTCCCCCCATGGGAAACGAAGCAAAAAAAATGATAACTTAACAAAATGGCACATTGAAGGGTCAATAATAATAAAAATATATAATGATATTCATCATCTTTCAGGTTTCGGAATGAGCCAGGTTGTTGGTCACCTGGATTTCTTCCCCAATGGCGGAGTGAAGATGCCGGGATGTCCTCAGAACATTCAAATCCCCAACGTCAATGTGGAAGATATCTGGAACGGTGAGGATTGTAGTTGGAGGTGTCGGCTCTTCTATGTGACGTGAGATCCTCATATGGGGGGATAGGTCCATTGAATGTCATGTAAAGCCCACATAATATATGACTAGACCGGAGCCGTGCCGCCCCAAACCCATCACTGCTGAGGAACTAGAAGTCCCAGGACTGTCCTCCAGGGCCGCCCCAAACCCATCACTGCTGAGGAACTAGAAGTCCCAGGACTGTCCTCCAGGGCCGCCCCAAACCCATCACTGCTGAGGAACTAGAAGTCCCAGGACTGTCCTCCAGGGCCGCCCCAAACCCATCACTGCTGAGGAACTAGAAGTCCCAGGACTGTCCTCCAGGGCCGCCCCAAACCCATCACTGTTGAAGAACTAGAAGTCCCAGGATGGTCCTCCAGGGCCGCCACAAACCCATCACTGCTGAGGAATTAGAAGTCCCAGGACTGTCCTCCAGCGGCTCTATTGCAGGTTCCCATTTTATCATCTTAGAAATTGGACAAAATTGGGTAAAATGAAGCCGCAGAGAAGCAGATATTTCCTGCTGGATGACATGTGACGTTGCTGAGTGCTGGAGACGCCAGGACGTGGCAGTGACATCGGGAGTCCCGGGACTTGTATGTGGCACCCGGATCTCCTTTTATAAATTCCCGGCACTGGTTGTCACCTCTCGAGCCGGAGAAAGCCGCTATAGACGTCACTTACTCTGCCGCACAAGAGGTGGCCAACCACGAGACAGATCCCATTATTAGGAGACAGATCCCATTATTAGGAGACAGCTCTCATTATTAGGAGACAGATCCCATTATTAGGAGACAGCTCTCATTATTAGGAGACAGCTCTCAATATTAGGAGACAGATCTCATTATTAGGAGACAGATCTCATTATTAGGGGACAGATCTCATTATTACGAGACAGATCTCATTATTAGGAGACAGATCTCATTATTAGGAGACAGCTCCCATTATTAGGAGACAGATCACATTATTAGGAGACAGCTTCCATAATTAGGAGACAGATCCCATTATTAGGAGACAGCTCTCATTATTAGGAGACAGCTCTCAATATTAGGAGACAGATCTCATTATTAGGAGACAGATCTCATTATTAGGGGACAGATCTCATTATTAGGAGACAGATCACATTATTAGGAGACAGATCACATTATTAGGAGACAGCTTCCATAATTAGGAGACAGATCTCATTATTAGGAGACAGCTCCCATTATTAGGAGACAGATCACATTATTAGGAGACAGCTTCCATAATTAGGAGACAGATCTCATTATTAGGAGACAGCTCCCATTATTAGGAGACAGATCACATTATTAGGAGACAGCTTCCATAATTAGGAGACAGATCTCATTATTAGGAGACAGCTCTTCTGATTGGCACTGTCTTAAACTGGGAAGCAAAAGCAAAGCTTGGTGTTTACACAACATGTTGCTGCACTTTAGCTAAGCCCCCCTGCTGCAATCCCTTACCAGCATCCCCTATGCCTCCTGTGTGTTCTGTGTTTGCCTTCAGCCTCTGGGTACTCAGTGTCACCAAGTGCACCCTGTGATGCCAGTGCACCTCTCTGCACCCCATGACTCCAAGGGCACTCCAGGGGCCATGTGTCATTTAGTGATTCCTAGTGCACCCCTGTGAACCCCCGTGTCTCCAAGTGAGCCCATGCACACCCTGTGTCCTCTATTGACTCCAAGCGCGCCCACGTGCTGCCTTCGTATTCAACTGTGCCTCAGCGTACCGCATGTTATCTTGCGCCTCGCATGTTATCTTGCGCCCCCTTTTCCTCAAGTGCCCCCCTGTGCCGCCAGTGCACTCCCACGTCACCTAGTAACTCCAAATGTACCTCTAAGCACCTTGTGACTCCAAGTGCATCTCAGCGCACCCCATCTCAGCTCGTGCACCCCTGTGTCCCCGAGTGCCCCCCTGTGCCGCCAGTGCACTCCCACGTGTCTCCCTGACACCTCGGTCACCACACAGCCTTCGATACGCTCCTCCTTCATCTGGACAGTCCTTCTGTCTGTGACCCCGGCCGGAATATTCCATATGTATCATTCAGTCCTTGTACTTTTATACATACACACGCTCCAAGTGTCTGTGATATGACAGTAACATGTTCACATTCTTCATTCTTTGTTTTTGTAGGAGTGGTTAACTTTGTCACTTGTAACCACATGAGAGCCATCAAGTACTACACGGACAGCGTCGGTAACACCGGAGTTTTCACCAGCTATCCCTGCGGCAACTGGAACACCTACCAGGCGGTGAGTGACTCTGTGCGGATCGTCTCCATCGTATGGGATGGTATCCAATCCCGGGATTCGGGTCCTTACCCGGGGACATATAAATCACATCTCACATAATTCACTGATAACCGACAGATGTTCCGTTCCCAAATGTATTTCACCAAAATGTCCCGATTTTCTCATAAATTCCAGCACAAGCACAAACTCTTAAAGGAGAACTATGAGGGGGGGGAGGGGCTTTTCACTCACCTCATACTTCTAGCCGACCTGTGACAATGAGACTGTCACAGGTCGGCTCAGTTGATCGGGAGGTGAGAGAACACATACCGGCGTTCGCTCACCTCTCGATCCTGTCACGGCTCTCTGCCATGACAGGGGAGGGGCTGGATTCCCCCCTCCCCGCTCCGATCCTCCAGCGCTGACTGGCGGAACGGACGGGGGAGGGGGCGGGTACAGCTGACTCTGCCTCTAGATAGGCGGAGCCAGCTGTCACTCACGCAGCTGGGCGGATCTCGACATCGATGTCGGGATCCGCTCCAGCTGCGGCGTCTCAGTATACCGCGAGCTATAGCTCCCTATATACTGAGCCTAGGGTGACGGGAGGACGCTAGTTTGTGTCCTCCCGTTACCCTAAGGAGAACTATGGGGAAAAGACCCTGACCTTATAGTTCTCCTTTAATCAATATTATACGCAAGCATGAATGTGACCTGGTGTCAGCCTCTCGTACTCCCTGTACAGCAGGGCTGGAGTATGAGATGAAGGAGCCAATCAATTAATGAGCTAAAAAGATTCATGCTGATAGGAGGGAAGGGGAGAGCAGAGTGACAGAGATGAGGTCATGACTTTGCTGCTTCTCCTTTCCAATCACATAGAACCTGGGCCTCTAGTGGCAGAAAAAAAGTACTGCAGGGTGAATCTCCGGACTGAAGCTGAATATTGCTGCCAAAGGGGTTTCGTCATTTTAACCTTTTGAATGGGCTGTGAATTTTGCTTTAAAGACGCACACATCTTGTATCTGCCAGAACCGGCATAATGCTAAATATGTATTTCTCCATCATACAGGGCAGCTGTAAATCCTGCCCCAGCGCCGGGTGTCCCAAGATGGGTCACTACGCCGACACGTACAAAGGTGTCACCACCTCCAGCCAAGTCTTCTATCTCACCACTCCTTAAAGGGTAAGCGTCAGCCTACGCGTTCCTCTGTCATCTGATACCATAATTATTCCTTATTATTTATTGTCTTCATATTTATTTCCAGATATTTTCCGGCTGTACGCCTGGAGCCCCCCGCCCCCCCCTCCTCCTGGCAACGTCCACATTTTTCATTTGTCCACCAATAAAATTTTGCAAAATCCTACATTTCTGTCCCTGTCTGTTGTCATCTCTGATATAATGTACTACGCAATAAAGAGTCTGAGAGGAGCCATGTTGTCTGTAGGAACCAATCAGATTGCTTATATCCTTCTCCCAGGGCAGAATGCCAAGGCGGGGCATGTAGGATGTCTCGTGATAACATCCTGCCGAGAGCGGGAGAGCCAATTATCAGAGTCCATCATTTGGCCAGAAGGAGGCTTCTGGGCTGCGTCTCATCCGGACACAAGGCTGACATAATCCCATAACCAGGGCTGGCTTTCCCACAAGGCCAACCAAGGCCCGGCCTCGGGGCAGCAGAGAGCAGAGGGGCAGCAGGGGTGTGGAATTCCTATCTCCCGATGCCCGGGACATGCAGTTCTGGGCGCCGGGCGGGTAGTTGTCTTTGGGCAAGCAGAGCTAAATGTAGAGCGGGGAAGCCGCCGCTTGTTCTGTACATGTGATGTCGCCAAGATCACTTGTATGTAGCCTGCAGGTCTGCCATTCTACATGGGGGGGGGGGGAGGGGGGCGCATGGAGGAACCTGGCCT